GATATACAAGTACATTAGTAGCAGAGAAAGCGGATCCGGAAATCCTTAGCCATCCATCTCCATGTCCCCAGCGGATCCAGATCCAGATCCAGATTCATCAGCATCCTTCTCAGTGGCCTCAGATTGGGCTGCCTCAGTGATCCGAATTCCATTCTGGATCCCTCAAGAAGGATGTTCTAGAACTCCCTCTGCTGCCTCCAAAAACGCCTCCAAGTTAGTATTCATCCTCTCCATAGCAGCCCTACTCCCTTCCACCGCTCCAATGCTCTGCTGGAGTAATCCGTTGGTCCAGACCAGCTCCGCTACAATGTTGTAGCAGCAGCAACCCAGGCCTGATCATCATACTCCACTTCCACCTCATCCGCTACCGTCATCTTCATATCCAGATCTGGAGTGGGACTCTGCTGGCGCTTCTCACCCTTGCCTCTCGGAGATGGGTTCTCAGCAGCACGCTGCCTCTTCTTAGACTTGGAATCCTTGACAAGTCCAGGCCTTCCGTGGCAGGTAACCTTATCCTTCCGGCACGGATTACAAGCCTTGATCTATCTGAACGTTAGGAGTCATGGATCCGAAAATCAATGACGACTCACCAAGGAATTGCTATCAGCATCGGACCATAGACAGATCTGATTCTTCTTAGCGCAACGGGTACAGGACCCATCCTCATCCGCTGAGATAGCGCGAGTCTACGAATCCGATAAGGAATGGATCCGATAAGCCACGGATCCGATGGTACAAATCATAACTCGCCATTTCCGCTACAATAGCCCTGTACCTAGTCTCCTCCGCTTCCCTTTGGATCTCAGCCTGTTCAATCTTCCTAATCCCATCCAAGTGTTTCTGTTCCGCCTCCTCCTCTTGTTGCTTCCGCTTTTCAGCCTCTTTCTCCTTCCGAACCTCAGCTTCAGCAGCAGCCAGCATGGTTTGTATATCCGCCAGAGTCTGCTTAGTGGTCTTCTTAGAGCCGGATCCGTTATCAGCCATGTTTGAGTTAAGCTAGTGGTAGTGAAAAGGGGGAAAGGAAGGAACACCTGCGACACTTTGGCATCTGTATATCTGTCGAAAATCCAAACTCAGCAACTTCTCCCATCAACTTCTCCATTGTCTCACACTCATACCATCCATTCCAGATCGCTGATTCTTGTGCCTCTAGGGATCGGCCCTAAGGGGGGGATACTGTCATATACCATATTCCCAGGTACAGATCCGAAGATCCGGATCTCAGATCCGATGGACATATCCGTCGTCTGGTCCACAGATCTGATCTGATTCTTATTTCATGTCCTGTTCATATAACTCTAACTATCGTTCATCTCCTTTCGGTATTCCTGTACACCGGTATACCGGTTATCCTTTACTTCTGCTATGCTTACTGATCCACTACACTTACTGATCCGCTTTAACTTATACTTCATATGCTGTGCACATACTTTGCTTATACTTCGTACATAGCCTCGCGCCTTTGCTTATTGATCATTCCATTAGTTATCTGTAGTATATAAACCCTTGTACATGCGCTGTAGTAGATCAGTTTGAATATCATCTTAGATTGCACTCATTCCGTCTGGACTCTAAGTCCTTCCATTATCCGTCCAGACTTGAGTACGATACTCTTGTCTACTCCAAGACTTAGGATTGATTCCTATAGTCTATATATCCGCCTCTGTCTTCGGACAGTCCTCACCTGTTAGTTTCTAGTTCAGATCCAATCTGGATTAGCTGTTACTCTACATGTCCGATATCTGGAAGCCTTAACGGATTCGTTACAATACTTATCCGTCTCACTAGATGCGATACTCTAGCACTCTGAAATAAGGGGCAAGACTCGGGAAAGGGGCACAGCGCACGAGCTGAGGCCAAAGCCCTTCGGATCCGATACTTCTTGAGTATGGTCTTAACACCTTCCATCTTAAGTATATTTCCTTTGTTATTCAAATACTTACTGAACGCTTGTCTTGTTCCCTTACAGGTTGCATTTCTGATAAGGTGAGTACTCACTTCAGCGGTCTTACACTGACAATGTTTTATCATTTTTTTAGGTACACTCTACTGGGGGCTTGGAGGTCTAGTGCTTGCACCGGCACACCTAGCCTCTTCTTCCTCCAGCACATGGTAACCTGGGGGCTTGGGGGGGTGATATAGTGTGCACGCCAGTGTGAAAAACACAACCTGACTAGGCACTTGTAAAAGCACTCAGCCAGTATATGTCTAAGCTCTGCCTATGCTGCTATACTTGCTAACAATAAAGCAAGAACGTTCAACCCAAGGGAAAAGCTACCAAGAACAACTTAAGATAGAAAGACCCGAAAATAGCGCTAATGCGCAGGAAAGTGTGTCGCAAGATACTGCGCTAGTGTGCGGGAAAGTATGTCGCAACTATAGAGCACTATGGCGCAAGAAAAGCAGAAGAGCAGGTTGGTAGGTGGTCGCTATCAGATCACTAATAGGTCGGTAGTGGAGTGGTAATGTGTCGCTATAGGATAGGGAGTGTAAAGAGTGTAGTGGATAGTGAGTGAGGTCAAAGGTATTGATTGCAAGTGAAAGGGAAGGTCAAGGTAAAGTGTTCAGGTATAAGGGAACCAATAGGGGCTATAGAGTGCAGCTAAAGGTGACTACTTCTAAGTAAACCTAAGGGGAAGGAAATACAGTTGAAGGGAAGTCATGTCGAAGTAGTCACCATAGGCTTCTTATACTAGTAAACTATACCATCTCGGACTCGGAAGGGATAGGATGTACATGTAATAAGACTGTAGCACTTGTTACAAACTTGAGGCAAGGCAAATTACATACCAATGAGGTAGGATGGACAATGGATGGGTTCCAACATTCCGAGTGGATCCTAGAGTGTGAGAACAGCGCGCTGGATAAGTGCTAAGTGCGGGAACAAGCACTAGATAGAGTGGACATGCACTAATGGACCTAAAACACATTGCAGGTAGTTTCAATAGCGCTATAAGTGTGGGAATAGTGCAGGATAAGTTGCAGGAACATGAGTAGCGCTGTGGGAATGTGCGCGCATAGTGTGGGAAAGTGCGGAATAGCGTCGGACAAGGATTATAGCTGAGACAAGTGAAGACCGTGTATAGGGGAATAGTGAATGATATGAGGTCTAGCTTTGGTCCACCTATTGAAGGCTTATGCAGGTATACATGCCTAGTGCCAATATGATTGTCACACCGGTGCACCTATTCACCCTCCTTCATTAACTGGGGGCTTGGGGGGTGGTTTAGTGTGTATGCCGGTGCACCTATTCACCCTTCATCGATCTTTACCTGCACAGCTGAATGTTTGTCAAGGTATTTTTTGCTTTACTCTATGAACGCATTCTTACCGTGGTTCACAGATAATTTTTTTTGTGGTAGAGTTATTCACAAGGTATTTTATTTTATTTTCATATCGCAGGTGCTGACCCAGCGTCCACAGATGGCTTCCGCTATTTTATTTATATATTATATATTCAATTTCTTTCTTGTAGTTTGCTGTACAAGGCCAAGGCAGGGAGGGCCCCTCTGCTGCGGTCTTGTATTAGCTAGTATAGTCTTTCAAATTTCATTACTTAACATTTTTCCCTTATTACTTCTTTTACTTATTTAACTTTGCGTATACTTTAATTTGTAATCTGCTGACTTAATAAATGCTGCCAAAATGAAATGATAAGGCATTTCTTGCTCCTGTGAAAAATTCATGTGACCACCTGCTGCTTCTTGCAAATCAGTCATGTCACCTGTGAGGTTATGTATGCAATGGCTTCTTGAGCAGCTTCACCAATTTTAGTCTTATTCTGCTAGACTCCCCTCTAAGCTTTGCCTTACTTGTATACCAGTTACCAATATATCACCTTGCTTGTACCAATCTACATCAATATCATGACATTTTGCTCACCAGTCTATCTATGGGCCTGTAGTCCTGAATGCCACCAACGACAGTCATTGGGCTCGAGTACTACACTTCCATCATTCACAACACCAAATTTTACTGGATTGTCTTCTTTCCAAAAATTTTGAGCACTTCACTTCCATCATTCGCAACACCAAATGTTGGAAGGAAGTCAATCGAGTACTACAGTTCTGTCGCCCATAGTGAACGTGTCTTCACATTTTTCTCCAATCATTCTGAGGAGGACAGCAGTTGGCTTTTCGCCAGCAAAAAAAAAGGTAGTTTTGTTGCCATGAACATTTCACAGGTCAACTGTGTTGTTTCATCTAGGTGCTATCTACTGTTCTAGGACCTTATTCTGGTGTCCTCCAGGGCGCCATGATGGTTTTTCTAGTTTGTGGCTCTGTCATTGCTCATGATGCTGGTGAAGCTGCTAAATCTCATCATTGCTAAAGTCCTGTAACCTTGCTCAATCACCTCTGTGCAATAAAATCCCATCTAAGCTTGGCAAAGCTGCTCAAGAAGCAATTGTGACTCTAACTCTTCACCTGATCATACTCACCAATCACACTTAACCTCCGTCGCATATGTCATTTCTGCACCCAGTATTAACCCCATGTAATCTAGATCAGATCAGCTTGAATAATGCACCTTGTCGCCTCAGACTGGACAATTTGAATTTAAGTTACCTAATTTGGTACTATCCCCTTTTAGTCTAGATCGTATCAGCTTAAAATTTTTCAAATGGTGCCACTCACCGAACTTCCATCATTTCTGTCATGGGAGACTTGGATCCTGTCACAAAACTGTCCAAAAACCTATCTAGCCGTGTGGATGAACTACTCTGGAATTCATCACCATTTCAATTATCCTTAGATAGGAAGGATGATCATAATATACTGCACAAAGCCAAGTAAGCGGTTTCAAAGTTAAGGTTCAACTCAGACTGAACTGCTGAATTTTAAGGATGAGACTGTGGAACGTGTGGCAGGATGTTCAAACTAACCAGTTCTGGTGTTGGTGTCAAGGAAACCGAGATTTCCAAGATTGAACTCTCCAGGGCTGCAGTCAGCATAGCCTATGCCACGGTTAATAGTTGTAAGCTTCTATTTGAATTTGACCAGACTGTGTTTGTGATTGTTTGAACACAGTACAGGCTGATTGGACATCCACTGTTTTGCAGACAAAGCTAAGGTGTCCCCAAACCCGCTGAATTCTGACAGCCAACAAAGGGAGAAACTTGCAAAATATTTCAAGACTCCTTCTTTTGGCCACATCTCAGAGCTGACCACATTTATTGACATGCATGGAAGGATACTTGCTTGGCATTTGCCTGGGACTATGGTATATATTGCAGGAAAGGTGCTAGAGCATGGTGTCCCAAGATGGGGTGATGGGGAGAGGATTGTGATTGCCCACTTTGTCAAAGATAAAGTACATGACAAGCAGGGCATTCCAAGACCGGGCTTGCCGATGGAGCAGGATTTTCTTATCCGAGTAGGGGCTGGTAGAGGTTGAAAACCTGTTATGAAGGTGAGAAGGAATGGTGGGGGGGGGAGGGATTGCGCCCAGGCAGTAAGTAGAGTTAATTAATATACCAAGAGGGGATATGGCTAGATGTGTTGAGATAAATTTTCTGTCACTTTGCTTGCCTGTAGTACTTCTGAATTCTCATTCTCAAATGTCTAGCCAGAAAAAAACCACATCTCAAGGCCATTTCATATTCTTTCAAAGGCAGAGGCAGTTTATCACGACAAAAAGACTTGGATGTTGACTATATGTCCTTCAAGCCTACAACAGGCAAAAGGGGGAAAACGAGCATGGCTCCAAGTTCAAACCAATCCACTGTATGAAACATTGGGGGGACATTCCTCCTCTTCTAGCCCAAAAAAACAGACAAAAAAGGCTCTGATGGAATTTCCAGATTCTGGGACTTATGATGCATATCGGGAAACATCCAGAGAATTTGTTCTAGAAGCAGAGGCTACTCAGCATGCAAGAAAAAACCAAGGTACAACTCACGTTCTTAAGTTGCTGATAACTCTCTTCTCATACTACATGATATAGACACAAAACAGTTTTATAGCAGACTACCTTGCATATTGAGATCTATATCTAGAAATCATCCTGGAATGCAAACAATTTGTCTGTGAAGGCATGTGTGAGTCTTGCCAAGATGCTGAGGGCACATTCAGCTGTGTGGCTTGCACTGGGGACCATGGCTGGTGCCACCCTTGCATGATTAAGTCACATCAGTCATTACCTTTTCTCAAAATCCAATTGTGGATTAGCAAGTGCTTCAAGGATGTCACTCTTGCCGACCTGGGTTTTGTGTGGTACTTGGGCCATAGGGGCAAGCCTTGCCCTTGGTATGGAGCTTCACTACTTTATGATGGCGGCATGGAAGCTTTGCCACATGATACCAACCCTGTTACTATCGTGCATTCTTCCGGTGTCATGCATGGTATGCAACTCATACCATGACAGATACACAAGAGGTGTGATAAGGAAGGTATAATAGACCCTACTGTATCCTATCACCAAGTTACCCCATCATTTCCCCCTAGTTATTAGCCAGTATTTTCACTTTCAAACTTCACTTCCATTTTTCCATGTATTTCTATTTTGTTCTATGACATTCCATCTCTTTCTATTTTTCCTAGGCATATTTAGCCAATAGACTTTCTTTTCAGCCACCAAGCATATTTGTAAGCATGTCATGTGACTGGTAAATATCATGATTTGTAAAGATTGAGCTTGACTCATCATGTTTTGTCATGATTTGTCATGCTTTGTAAGATGTCTAACTGTATTTATAATGTAAATTAGTAAACAGGCTGGCTCAACACACCAAATGGCATTGTTAGTAAGCACATTCTTACCAATCCATGTGATGATTCATGCTTTGTAATTAGGGCCTCCAAAAGGTATATAAGGAGCCCAATTTTGCCATGTAATAAATGGAGCACTTCCCACCTTCACTCATCTCAAACAGTGTGAGATTAAGTAAGAACCTAAGTACAGGCAAATCATTAGCCTCAAAGTAAGACTAAGAAACATTTATTCAAGTTATATGCTACTCTATCAGCTAATCTAACTAAGTTTAACCCATACTATTTTCCTCTCTCTTTTACAGGAAGGGAGACATGATTTACGCTACACATTTCATGCTACATGATTCACAAGCACGCTAACTCTCAGACAGATTTCATACTGTAGACTCAGTATACAGAATTCAATTGTTTTAAACTAACCAAGGAACAAGGAAAGAAGGTATATTGAAATAAATCCTCCCAAGAACTCACACGTTATATACCACGAAAACTAGAAAAGTTGTAGACCATGTACTTAAGGACTGGCAATAAGTCTTATCCTGTATAGTTGTGTTGTAACTATATAAGCGGCGTACATAAGACCCTTAAGTAAGAGGACACTGGGGTGGTTCATTCATAATGTGGCATGGTGTCATTGCCAGGGCTCTTTTCCAATACAGCACCTGCAGCTCCTTAGAGCAGGACTATTCCCTGCCAGCTCCACCCGGCCCAAATCTGCTTTCACCTTTGAGGTCCTGGATCATTTTCTCATAGATTCCTTGGAATGCAAGACTTCTGCAAGAAGCTTCTTTGAGAAACTCACAAGGCTGACTAATAACACATTTCCAGATACTGTCCCAGTGAGTACAGGTACACTTTAACCAGGAGATTTCTCTAAATACCTGTTTGTGTTAACAGGTCCGGTATCGTGAACTGATGAGAGTATCCTGTCTGTGGCGGGACTTAAAGAACCGAAAATGTTTGGATTTGGCCACGACATGGAATCGAGTCCAGGCCCAGGAGATCTTGCTCTCTTCTGCCCTTCATGTCCACAGCCAGGAATCAATATGCCTTTGCTTTGGGAACAGAAGTATGAAAGGCAAGTTGCTTATTATTCAAAACTCTGCTACATGAAGCTGATCAGGCCTGAGGCTATGTCATGTGGACCGGCCAGGCCTGAGGCTACATCATGTAGACCAAATGTCGGCCAGGCCTGAGGCTACGTCATGTAGACCAAATGTTGGCCGATATTTCCTTCAAGCCTAATTGAGATTAAACTCGGCTGACTTGTTTTCAGGTGGCTTGTTATGAAGAGATTGGTGGTAGATGGGAACTTTACTGCTCAGCACATGAACATGTGGGAACCTGAACAAGACATCTTCCTTTTGGATGGCTCAGGTTATATGGTGACGGACTCAGAATATCAGGCTCACTTGGCCTCAGCTACTGAAAGTAAAGAGGCGAGTCACATGGTTTATTGTCCTTTTTCAGTGGTGTCTTCATGTCTCAGAAGAGGTCCACATGTAGCAACCATCGAGCAGTCAATGCAGCTAATGCAAACTGAAGCAATCTCCGAGCTACTGGTGTGGGTGCTACAGCTTGTGCCCGTCATGGATGTTTTGTTCCCCACTCTGTAGTAGACTTTCAGAAGGGCGAACGGCAAGTCTCCTTTAATTTATTATGTGATGGCCTGATGTGCTGATGAAATCAAGTCAAGGCACATGAATGTAGATTACTCCATATGCAACGCTATCACCCAAGTGGCCAACTCTGTTGACAACTCGCTCATAATTTATGATGTGGGGTGTCAGTGGAGCCTTCACTTTGGAGAATGTGTTGACAATTGCCCTGGTTTGACACTCCCTGACAATACAGAGATTGTAGCTGCAGTGGGGAAATTTCATCTCAGTGCTCATAAGCTAGCTTGTTTTGCTAGATACAGCCTAAACTTCATCTTAGGCGCTGCCCAAGTTGACGGAGAAATTCTGGAGACACTCTGGGCTGCCTTTAACAAGATATCCTCAACTGCCTGTTCTATGAGCCAAGCCCACCATCAAGAAATCCTTGATGACCATATGTGTAATTCAAACTGGAAAAAACTCGTAGGGATTGGTGAGTGCTAAAATTGATATAAATAAGACTTTGATTAAATATTTTCAGTTGAGACCCTGTTATGAAAGCACAAATGTGCTTATAAGGGTATTGACGACACCAAGGTCCCTTTTGAAGAGCTTCCAAGATCATTCTCACTAAACCATCTATCTCACTATGTAAGGGGTGATTCTCCTGGCCAGTCCACCATCTACAAGGATGACACACTGACACACTTTCATTTTCATGCTGACCAGTACTGGCCCTATGAGAATCAGCCAGGCCCAAGGTACATGCATCTCCCTTATTATATAGATACTGGCCAGTACTGGCCCTACTGGGTCAGCTGGCCATAATCCATGGGTGTATCCCATGTTACTTTCATGCTGGCCGGTACTGGCCCTATGAATTTGGCTGGGCCCAATATACGGGCATCTCCATTACCATATGGCTATTGGCCAGTACTGGCCCCACGGTATCGGCCGGTCACAATCCATGGGTGTATCCCATATTACTTTCATACTGGCCAGTACTGGCCCTATGAAATCGGCCTATCCAAATGTACGGGCATCTCCTTAATCTTATAGCTATTGGCCAGTACTGGCCCTATGGGATTGGCCGGTCACAATCCATGGCCATGTCCCTTCTGATATAGAGACTGGCCAGTGCTTGTCCTACAGGGCCAGCTGGTCACATTCTATGGGTGTGTCCCCATATTTTTTACATGCTAGCCAGTACTGGTCCTATGAGGTTGGCCAGTCAGAAGGTATGGGCATGTCCCTTATTGTATATTTAATGGCCAGTACTTGTCCTACAGAGCTGGCTGGTTACATCCTACAGCTATCTCATATTACTTACATGCTGGCCAGTTACTGATCCTACAATGCCAGCCGCCTATCATCTACAGACACGTCTCTTATTACTTTGATACTGGCCAGTACTGGTCCTACAGGTCTGGCAGATTAATATCTAGAGACCATGGGCCTGGGACCTGTTACTTGGATCCTGGCCAGTACATGCTCTACAGGCCTGGCCGGTGTGACAATCATACCAGTGCTAGGCGCGTATGAGTGTCATAGGCAAAATTTGCCTTGCCTAGAGGAAAAAGAGTAAGGCGCTAGTCACCAGTGCTATCATTCCCAAGCTATCCGCTTTGGAACCGCTTTTCTCCCATAGCACGCTGCCCAGTCTGATGCCTAGGTATTCCGTCCTCCCATGTCCTGCCTATGTCCACCTACCTCCGCTGGTGCGTTATTTTTCCTTAAATGTCGCTACTCATCAGTCGCAGGTCTTATTACATGTATCCTCATGTTCCGCTGCACTGCATGTCTTATTACTTGTCGCTACATCGTGCCCTCGCCAGTGTCGCTACTAATCTCACCTACGCACTCCTGAACTTCTACGCAGTATGATAAAATGACCTGTCGCACATACAGTACTTCCCTTCCCTGGACCTTTGCTGGTGTCGGAGTCACTTTAGTCGCTATATCCTAGTCTTGGTGCAATCAATTCCGCTCTTGCCAATCTCTCTGATCGCGTGTCATTTGACTTGCTTTAAGTGTGTGTCGTCAAAGTTCCCTCTTAAGTTTGACTTTCGTAATGTTGGGATCGCTATCAGTAGTCGAGCTACAATCTAGTCGCTACCAGGCATTTCACTTGCACTGTCTTATCTTACTCCTCGCTTTTGCTCCCTCTGATTTCTTCTCGCTGTTGCTAGTCGGGCGTCGCATAGTGCTATCACATAAAACAACTTGCATAGCGCTTCTGACTTATACGCACGTTTCTCTGTCAGAACTCACTTGTCGCTGATCGCTATAGCGCTACTCATTAGTTTTTGGTCTTAGGTTGCTATAGGTTTTAGCCCTTCTGTCATATACCATATATCCGGTTACAGATCCGATGATCTGGATCTCAGATCCGATCCAGATCTGATGAACATATCCGTCGTCCGGTCCACAGATCCACTTTGATTCCTATTTCATTTCCTGTTCATATAACTCTAACTATCGTTCATCTCCTTTCGGTATTCCTGTACACCGGTATACCGGTTATCCTTTACTTCCGCTTTGCTTACTGATCCGCTACACTTACGAATCCGCTTTTACTTGTACTTCATTCCCGGTTCATGATTCGTGATCCATCCGACTTACCAATACGCTCCACTTAGACTTTGCTTATACTTTCGTTCATAGCCTCGCACCTTTGCTTATTGATCATTCCATTAGCTATCCGTAGTATATAAACCTTTGTATATGCGCTGTAGTAGATCAGTTTGAATATCATCTTAGATTGCACTCATTCCGTCTGGACTCTAAGTCCCTCCGTTATCCGTCCGGACTTGAGTACGCTACTCTTGTCTACTCCAAGACTTAGGATAGATTCCTATAGTCTACATATCCGCCTCTGTCTTCGGACAGTCCTCACCCATTAGTTTCTAGTCCGGACCCGATCCGGATTAGCCGTTACTCTATACCTTCGATATCCGGAAGTCTTAACGGATCCGTTGCAATACTTATCCGTTGTGATACAAGTCTTATCCGTTACAATACTTATCCGTCTCACTAGACGCGATACTTTAGCTCTCTGAAATAAGGGGCAAGACTCGGGAAAGGGGCACAGCGCACGAGCTGAGGCCGAAGCCCTTCGGATCCGATACTACTTGAGTACGGTCTTAACACCTTCGTGCTATCGCTTCCCTTGCTTATTAATAGGGAGTTGCTTCAATAGCAGTCCTCTTGGGTCGAATACTACACTCGCAGAATATGCAAGTCCACTGTGGCCAAGTTCATCAAAGAAAGCCACCCAGACAAGGAAAACTCTTGTGGAGGACGTCCATCCAAGCTTACCTCTACTGACAAAAGGGCTATTATCCAACATATCACTACAGGAAAGGCTGATAATGCTGTCCAAGCCACCCATTATATCAATTCCACCATCACTACCCCTGTCTCTTCACAAACTGTGAGGAATGTTCTCAAGGCAGCTCATCTCAAGGTAGTAACAAAGAAGAAAAAGCCTCTTCTCTCCATCAAACATAGGCAGAGAAGACTAGCCTTTGCCTTAGCTCATCAACACTGGACTGTAGAGGACTGGAAGCATGTTATATGGTCAGATGAGACCAAAATCAATAGGATTGGGTCAGATGGGAAGGTGTATGTATGGAAAAAGAAGGGAGATGGCCTAACAGACAGAGAGGTTAATGGGACTGTCAAGTTTGGAGGAGGTTCTTTAATGGTATGGGGCTGTATGGGATGGAATGGTGTGGGAATGCTTGCTGAGGTTGAGGGGAAGATGAATGCTGAGCAGTATGTGGACATTTTAAATGACCACTTGCTGCCTAGCTTGGCAGAATCAGGGATTGATGAAGAAGATATCATTTTCCAACAGGATAATGATCCCAAGCACACATCCAGAAGAGCTAGGGAATGGTTTGAAGAACATAACATCAATGTTCTTGACTGGCCAGCACAGTCTCCTGATGTCAATGTCATTGAACATCTCTGGGGAACACTCAAGAAAAAGCTTCAAGCCTATGAAAACCCCCCTAAAGGAGTATGGGAGCTTTGGGAGAGAGTAGCAGTGGAATGGGGGAAGATCACAGCTGAGGATTGCCAGAAATTAATTGAGAGTATGCCTAGAAGGATAGAGGCAGTAATTAAAGCCAAGGGAGGTCATACAAAATACTAGAATACCTGGTTATTACTGTAAAATACTTGAGTCAAAAAACTGTCCGCATGAGTCACCATTTTGTGAGCCTTGTATCTCCACCATATCTCCACCGATTCCCACGGTGTAGGGCTCAAATGAAAGCCCTGAAGCCATACTACAATGTGGTATAAGCATGTTTTTGAGGCATTTGTTTGTTCTCACACAATATTATAGATAGTGAAAAATGCCAAAACATACGGACGGTTTTTTGAGCCACTGTAAATAGTCAGAGAAATGTGAGGAATGATACTGTAAGTATATAGAGATGAAACACATAGGAAAACATACTGTAGACATAAATAATCATATAACTAACACAAATGTCATCCACTGGTATATCTGGGGGAAAGCCTGTGGACAATATAGGGTGAGCATGAGCATGAATGAACTGAGAACCGCATCCAGAATCAACTCTAGATGGGACCAAACTTGACATATGTAAATCACAATGACAATGGATCTGTGTGTGAACAGGCCCATCCAGAACTGATACTGTAATCGGCATTGCAGATGCAATTGGTTTATATGTATCTATAATGACAAGAAGCCAAGAACATATACACTCACATGAGGGACAAAGGTAGCCAAGTGAGGATGCAAAGCATCACAGACATGCAGATGAGACCATGCACGAGCCACATTCCATTTCTCTTTGCAGGATCTATGGAGTCTAGCTGCAGAATATAGATATTTTCAAGGCCTTGATGGAGTTGTTGTAGTGTTCATGTGGGAGGGAGAGGTGACAGTTGTGCATGATCCCACTGTTAACGTGCTTTCCTGCACCTTGGACATAGGCTCCAGACAAGGCAGAAGTGATTTGTCCTTGCTGGACTTCATGAAGTTGAGAATACAGCAGATGGAGTGTCTGTAACAACAGTACATCAATCTCTTGACACATTGAAGCAGAGTAGGACGCAGAGTTACTGACTCACTGGATACATGGTCACTCTCTACTTTATTTTGATTGGAGGTAGTTGGGCTTCTTATAGATTATACCCATATAGAACTGCTATCCTGATAATGTCCTTCATTTTTTACCTTGGGTTCTTGATGGTGCGAGTGATGGTTTATTAGCATAAGGCTACTGTGAACATTACTCACACTGCTGCTTTTATTGATTGTCCAAGGTTTCATTAAACATCTGACAGATAGTTTTTATCAGATAGCAGATAAGAGTGTTCTGATGTTCTGAAAGTCCTTCCTGTATCATACCAACGGGGCCCTTCTCAACTAGCAGGCACACATTATCAGCACACTGGCAACACTTATTATATAGACAAAACTGTAAGATTTTTAGTCTCTTTTAATGGCCATAGCACCTATAATTATATTCAATAAATCAGGCTTTTGAGTTATAATCAACCTGGGTACTCTGGATAAGGTGACCCTCTATGCACTATCTGACTCTCCCTTTGATATCTTGAATGTATAAGCTAGTTACTTCTAAAGAGGCTAGATTTCAATTATGCTATATAGTATATATTCTACTATTTGGAATATTGTGGTCATGCTGTGGTATTAGTTTGTTGATCTATACTCACAACTTTGCACTACCATTTATCTCCTACAGATTATTTAAGTGCTAAATAATTGATCAACAGAATCTGACTATAATCAGTTAAACTCATGTTATGAAGCAGATGCAACAGGTTGCTCAAAACGGTTATGACTTGCTATCTGCAACATTTTATCTTATATTCTTCACACTCAGGAGATCAACTATCCTCTTCTTCTCTATTATCATTATATCAGCTCCATTTCTCTGACTTTGCTAAAATTTGCTCTACTTTCTACTTAGTGCTCTATACCCCACTCACCTTGCAAATATCAAGGTCTGGTTCACAGCTATGAATATCTCTACTTCATGTAGCACAACTGGATGTAGAATGTAGAAAAGGTTGATGCAATAAAGTGAGAACAATAAATTACAACTTTGTGCAGCTATGATCCTCCACATACTTTAAAACCTCTTCACACAATTCTCAACACCCTGTTCTTTTGTCCTCCTCAGGCTGTCTTAACAATATCAATGTTACATTTTGCAAGTACATATTTGGTATCTAACATAGGAATAAGTTGGCATTTAATGAACACAGTGAAAGGAATGTGGTACTGACATGCCTGATCAGAGGTACTAATGTGTCCCATTGATTTATACACCCTGTAGTTCCATGTCCCTGCTCATTGTAACTCAGTAGAGCCTGCAACCAAGTTAAACTGGCACAGTGAAACAGACATGTGGAACCTACAGCACTTTTCATGACAATAAGAGTTGTAGGAGACAGATGCAATGTAGAGTTCACTTCATTAAAATCTTCTAGGGATAATTCAGATGCCCACTACCTTTGTTTCAGCCTGTAGCAGGGACCTTAGCCTGCATGCCTTGATTTGGAAGTGTGAGTTTAATGTTAGTTCTTGGTATTATGTTTTATTCATATCCATAGTAGACTATATAAAACTAGCCTTTCGCCTTGTAAACTAAGTTCTTTGTATTGTACTTGTTTGGTTATTGACATTTGCAAAGAATCAAGACAAAAACATCCTATATGCTTATCTAGATAAAGAAACAGGTGTGAAATCAGGTACTGTAGCTGAATTTGCCAAGCATAAAAACTGGTTGGCTTTCATTGCATATCCTAGTAAGTGATATTGTTCTTTTTGTCAGCTTTACATGCTAATGTCTGCCAGGGACTATATATATATGGCTTCTTATAGCAGCATCAGGCATGACTAGTCTACTTGGGATCCTTTGGTTTCATTTGCAGTTAAAGGCTCTCCTCCTCCTATAACATTGACTTTTGTGCTGCAGAGATGGCTGACTGCCTACTTCAGACAATGTCATCTCCACTCTGTATACAGGACTTTGTAAAATACCCTGACCTCAAGCTGCACAGTGATGATCCCAACCTTTTGTGGAAAGGATCGAAGCATTTCCTTGACTTCATTCTCATCGTCTCTGCTAACATTGGTCTGCATGCTCTTCCCAAAACCCTTGCTGATCACAACTACTCACTCACATTCAATCTGCGTCTTCAATCTCGTCAGTTTCATCCCAAGTTCGGCAAACTCAGTTTTGATCCCACAGGGTCCATGATGGCCATTGGTGAGGGTCAGTCGATGTAGTTGTGGTTGGGCTTTTGCCCTGTTGGCAACATTGAAGATATTGACCTCACCAACAACAGTCCTCTTCTCAGTGAGAAGCATAGCGATACTCATTTAACTTCTGTGCATGATTGCATGGGAGTGATTTCCTCACTGCCCTTCTCAGTCAGATTCCTTTAATGCCTATCCACATCATGTATCCATACGGACCTCACTCAGACTTCCAGGAGTGGAAGATCCAAGATGCAATAAATGTCTTGTATGTATATTCCACCTCATTTTATTGTATCACATCCCGCATGTAGATTCATACCTGGATGGGCGCACAATATCAACTTTGACGTTGTGTCAGACCCAGCTCTGGATGGTTGTCCTTGTCTTGTATTGATCATTATTGTGATCACCCTCACTGATGTTTTGCTTTCTCCATGTTGTTGTCTTGATCAGTGACCAGCGTACGATCACCTTGTGCTTGGATGACATTGTGCTGCTGAACTGAATGATGAAGATTCAATATGATCATTTCGTTGCCAATGCACCCCCATCTTGGTTGGAGGATGGTTAGCTTCAACAGCACATGACTGTATCTGTCACCTGTTGTTATGGGCAGAACCAGCCTATTGTCAGTTCCGACCAACATGCTCTTCATGTGGAGTCACGAAACTGGAACCATGAACATGATTACACTCACATTCATTACTTGTCCATGGCCGTCGCCACCCATATCTCGTGTGTCTTTTCCTCTGATCTCCTGGGTCTGCCCAACAGCTGATCTCCCTCGTTTTATTTAATCTTACTCAGTTGTGAGATTGTAAGAGGCTGGGTCAAGGTTCCAACAAATGACATCCTTTCCGTCCATGAAGTCATGTACAACTTGCGTGATCCTGATGTCAGAGAGCCTGTGGACCTTCTTTCCCTTCCTCTGCATGAATCTGAAACACATAAGGAGATCAACATCTATGACAAGGAGGGTCGCCGCATCCATCATTTGATTGGTAGGAATTGCACCAATGCTCCACAATGCAGTATTCTTGTCAACATCAAGACAATTTCTCAACTGTTCTCTTTGTATGTTGCTCATGATGAGCACTTGGATATTGACGCAGACATTCCAGACCTCAATGATGAGCAGGCTGTCAAGATCAATGTGTATCCTCGAGCTTTTTTGCACAAGTATGGCCACCTGCAGTCTGATTCCATTCTCCCTCACTTCAAGACATTTGTCAGCAAAGTTCAAGCAAATATAACATGGGGTCAACAATGTACCTACAGAATGGATGATGATGACAATGAACACATGAAGGCAGACGATGGGCAAGCAATACCTCCTGCCATCATTGGTTCTGGCTGTCAGTTTTATAATGAGATCTCTCATCAAATCCAACCAAACACTGGCCTTGGTCGTATCATGCTTTGTTACATTTTTCATCACTTTGTCAGCTAAGCTATAGTGTCTTGTTTTGTATTCTTATTGTACCTATTACTGTATGTATAACTGGCATGCTCAGCCCATACTCAGAAGTTACTCTTTTTTTAGATCAGTATGTTTAGTTGACAGTGAAAGGATCCGAAGTTGAGATTCTTCCATGAGAGATGGCCCACCAAAGATGGGCCCAAGTGGACATATAGGCCGATAGTGATGGGTGGGCCCATAATGATTGTGATGTCTGGATATCAATGGCAGGGCCCATAGGTGACAACTGACAATGGAATGATTACATGGTTGGACTCATAAGATATGTTATAAATGAGATGTCCAGGCCCAGGGTGATTGGGTGTAAGATGACAACTGGATACCAAGGGTTATTTATTGGATAGGAATCTCGGTAGATACAGATGGGCCAGTATCAAATCTCCTACTAAGACTAATTACTCCAATCAGAAGTAGCTTGAATAGGTTGGATACAGTCATTGAATGACACTAGGTTCAGTAGAATTACCTGTAGAAACAGTTGCCTTTCAATTTTAAACCATAATCATTCACTGCTCCTGTGTAAAGAAGAAATATAGAATCTCTCACCAAGACTGATGACCTGGACTGGAAGTAGCTTGAATAGATTGGATATAGTCACTGAATTTCACTTGGTAAAATCACATTTGGAAATAGTTTTCTGTTTAATTTTCAATCATATTCATCTACTGCTGCTTTGTATAGCAGAAATATAGAATCTCTCACTGAGACTAATGACCTGTACCAGATGTTGTTTGAATAGCTTGGATACAATCAATGAATCATCATAGTTTTGGTAGAATCACTCCTGGCAAAAGGTGCCACAGCTTAGCTGCTGAAATTCATCTACCACCTCTTGGTACAGGAGAAATATGAAAATTCCTTCCAAGACCAATGACCTAGTACTGTAGTTAGGGTTGAGTGAGGTAACACTCACAACCAGGATGTCTTTAAAGTGTACCACTACATGGGAAATTCATCCAACAAAAATCTGCAGCAGGGAGAGGTATCCTTTAGGCATATAATTCTGCCAATAGGGATGGTAGTGTGATGGCTGTTATGATACATGCACAGGTGTACTGATCTGGCATTGTGCACATGGTGGGGTACTAATATGCAGGGTTAAGGAATGATGATGGTGTGACAGGATGGCAGTGGAAGAACATAGTCAGAATAACAGTGAAAATAAGTGTAGAAAAGAGTGATAGTGAGTAGCACTGTCTTCTGTGGCAGTGGAAAACTGAGACACTTTGGATCTCTAGCATCCTTAATATCAATGCTGAATAGGGGTCTCAGGATTATCTTGGCTTCAGGGATCAGCAATGGTCACTATAAGAGGCAAATTTCAAAGTGCTGATCACCAGAACCCTGAAGAGGTAATCTATCAGTGGCTTCTTTTACTTTTACATTCTTTTTTGCCAGAATCAAGGTTCTTTCATATCATTGATTAAGGTACCATGTCAATTGACTGCCTTTCTGCACATAACAACCAATGAAACAATAAGTGATATGTGATACAATGTTTTCTTACAAGTTACTGATATTCCAAATGGAGAATTTAATTGAACAACTTAGAAGGATGAATATAGAGAATGCTAACTATAGCATACTGTACTACAAAGCTATTACCTTAGATCCCTGTATCCATAATGGCTTTCTCATACACATTTTCCTACTTTTGAGAAAATTATCTCACTGGTGTTTTCTTTTATGCTGTATTCTCTTCTTCTATTGTTTATAGCCTGCAGTGTCCACCTGCTCCCTCATCTCCTCACATTTCATATGGATCTTTCCATACTCCAAACTCTTGAGTTGAACATATGAATCATTAAGTGAAGCTGAGGATGAAGAGGAGGCTGTAATGATATGAGTTACCTTCAAGCAAACATGAATTCAGAAGGTAAGAATTATATCCTGGCAAATTACTCTGTTTGTAAGATTTCTTGCTCACTGATCCTTGGAGCTATTTTTTGCCACATATATCAATGAGCTACAAAATTAAATGTCTATGGATGACTATAGGGAATGGAAATTATTATAGATTTTCAAGCTGTGCTGTTTAAGATGTTATGATTTCAGGCTAATCTTGCATATAATAATTCTCTTAAAGGTAAGTTTGATAGATCATAGTAAATGAAGTTGGATATGAAACAGAGGAAACAGATTGATGAACAGAATGGAAGAGAATATAACCAGAGAGTCAGAGAAGGGGAAGTCTAAATGAAGATGAATGTAAGATTAGGTTTGGATTCAGAAATGAAGTGGAAACACAGGATGGAGACTGGGTGGAGACAAGGAGAATACCAATGCAGATCAAAACTTTGTTCATGACAGGTCATAAGGTGGTCAGACTGATTATCTATCTACTGACTACAATCAGATACTAGATTATCAATGTTGGTGGCAGGTGATGCTCTTTATGATCCAGAATGATTTAAAAGGGGCCAGTTGGACTATAAGAAATTTCAAAATGTCCACTTTCTATTATTATAAGTGAGTACAACTAATATCAACAGTTAGATGATAAAAATATAACGGCAAATGACTTATACAAGAAGCTTTGTCTTTGTCTTTTGTGTTTGCAGACTAAATGTCTACATTGCCCAAGTCTTTTGTCTTTAGTTTTGAAAAGCTCCTCTTCCTCAAGGAACTATTGTAGAGTATGCCTAAACCAGTTCTTTAGCTGTATATATATTGTGAATGGCTGGCCTTGGACCTATTGTAACATATATCAATGAGAAGGTAAAATGAAAGGAACTTACTCCCTTTTGAACAGACCACCTTCTGTGATCTCCCACTTCTTCCAGTCTACAATTTAAAATCTACATTCAGACTCCTCTACACTTGAATTCACTTTCTCACCCAATGATTCTATGGTATCAGATTTTTTTTGCACAGCCTATTGTACAGTGTCAAAACCATACCCCCTGTACCTACTATGTAATATCTGGACATGCTAGTTTTCTCACATGATCATAAAGGTTAGATCTTGGGTGCTGTCTATGAGTGCAATCAGAGAAAACAGTTTCAGATGAGAGAATTCAGTTTAAAGATGCAAGTCAAGACACTAGATTGCATAGAACTAACTTAGAGTTGTGTTTATATAGGCACAATAGAGACAGCTTTATGGCAAGTCTATACTAGCTATAACAACAGTTGACTCATGAAAAAAGGCATGGTATGGTATAATTTTGTATGATTTAATTAGAAAATATCTAATAAAAAATCACAGAGTCATATGATGTAGGAAAAAAATTTGAGTTATGTGCTATATAGTAAGACAGAGAATGATGGCACTTGTTGTAACATTACTCCCTCACTAAATCAAAACCACCAACTTTGCTGTCATAAATGAATATCTTTAGTGAGACATCTAGGGTTACCCATACAATTGTTTCTAAGAAGTCCTACAACAGATTTACCTTTAGCTTTCATCATCTTAGTGTACTCATTAAGCCTTGGATATCTGGTGTGGGCATATTATATTGAATGACATGATGTAAGGTAATTATGTAGCTCTGATCACATCTTCAGTAATATCTTCACCTAGCCTTTTAGAATGTATACCTCCAAAATGCTTGAAGACTTAGCTTCATACTATGTCATACTCACACTTAATCAACTTCTAACTGCTGTAACTAAAAGATATGCTCAGATTCAATGTCTTTCCCTTAAACTCCACATCTTTTGGATGCCCTGCATCAATTGGCCATCTTCACAATCTTTCATAGATAACACATCTTGCTGGCTGGGTAGAAATCCCAGGTCAGTCAGCAGATACCTACCAGTTACCCCATAACTGTTGGACTGGAAATAATTCTTTTGATAATAATATTACACCCAATCACTTTTGGAGGCTGCAGATTCAGTCTCTTGATATTGTCAGCAAAAATGAATTAGCATTTGCAAATGTAGGAAAGGCATCTGAGGGCCACCAGATGCCTCAGGTACATAAATCAGGAATAGGCTGTTGGTATACTAATACATAGTGCATTACCTGGTTTAAATTGGCTGCCAGAAATTCAAGATGCATCTATAATTACATGTTGTTGTATTCAACTTAGCTAATTGATCATTAATGTATTATAATCAGAGTTACTTCGCTGATAGCACACAAGCCATTTGTAGATCTAATCAGGGTTGGGCATATTTGTATCATATGTATTATATATATATATTTCCTATTCTCCATTGGATTATTTGTGCATAGTTGTGCATGCTGGAGTTTCCTGGAACTACACTTGTGGTGTAAAAATTTCCTGGTCTCAGCATATCCTCACTCACTAATACTCTCATTCTTTGCACTCACCCACCACTCCCTTTTAAAATGTTTTATAATTTTTCCATTATAGCATGATATCATTGTTTGTGTAAAGCCAATAGATTAGATTTGCTTATCTGGCATAATATGCCATTCCCACCAACTTCCATTTGTTGTTCCACTGCTTTGGTATGCAAATTCCCATGTAAGACTGAGCTCAAGTTGCCATTTCAGACTTCTGTTTTAGAACAGAATGAATTATGTTAGTTTAACTCCAGAGCTGGACTGTATGGACTCGCCAAGCTATTGGAAGCAGTCGCCATTATCCTGATTGTCAAATTAAGCACTTGACTTTTCTGGTTCAACGACTCCTATTACTCTCTATGGAGGCAATGTAGTGGCCTCATTGAAGTTAAGTCACAAATCAATTCAAACATGATATTGAACAAAGCCCTATTTTTTCATATTTTAAGTTCAGGCTACTCTATCCAAAGGCTGCTAGATCACTGACATAATTTAACCCCAAGAGTCAGTGCATGGTCGAACTTATAAGCAAGTTTCTTGTCCTCTTGAGCAGTCTTTGACTCTCACTCTGGTGTCTTTGGCATGTTTTGCCCATCAAGGGCAGTGCTGCTTTCTTAGTTGTCCTTTCTCAGACCAAGAGAATGTGCATAGGCTCAAAAGCACCAACAAGCACAGCAAATGGCTTGGCTTCATGGTGGTCTGCAATATGGGACATGATGTGACACATCCAGGAAAGCACTACTAACGACTACCTTGGTTAGAGTGTTATAGGTCCAGTTTTTGCTGCTGTCCCTCTCTCCTACCCCACATGTCAGAGACATGCTAAGGAGTTCATGCATGCAATTAGCCTGGTCCCATGCTCATATGCCTTTCTGGAATCCCATGTGATGAGACTGACTGCCCTTAGGTCATATTGGAGGCTATTTGCTTGAAGCTAATAGCCAAGACTAGACCTGTTGAATGTGCTTCTGCTTTTTTGATTGTCCGTCAATCTACTAGTCTGTCCCTTCTAGTGATGTGTTAAGACCATACTCAAGAGGTATCAGATCCAAAGGGCTTTGGCCTCAGCTCGTGTGCTGTGTCCCTTTCCCAAGTCTTGCCCCTTATTTCAGAGTACTGAAGTATCGCGTCTAGTGAGACGGATAAGTATTGTAACGGATCCGTTAAGGCTTCCGGATATCAGACATATAGAGTAACGGCTAATCCGGATTGGATCCAAACTAGAAATTAACAGATAAAGACTGTCCGAAGACAGAGGCGGATATGTAGACTATCGGAATCAATCCTAAGTCTCCGATTAGACAAGAGTAGGAGACTCAAGTCCAGACAGATAACAGAGGATGAACAGAGGGACTTAGAGTCCAGATGGAATGAGTGCAGTCTAAGATGATATTCGAACTGAAGTACTACAGCGCATGTACAAGGGTTTATATACTACGGATAACTAACAGAATGATCAATAAGCAAAGGTGCGAGGCTATGTATGAAGTATAAGCAAAGTATGTGCACAGCGTATTGGTAAGCCGGATGGATCACGAATAATGAACTGGAAATGAAGTATAAGTTAAAGCGGTGTGAAAGAGAAATAGCAACTAGGCTGGTTAGAAACTAGCGCTACTTATCCAAATAGGCGCGAGTGTAGTATTCGACCCAAGAGGACTGCTATTGAAGCAACTCCCTTCTAATATGCAAGGGTAGTGATAGCACAATGGACTAATAACCTATAGCGACCTAAGACCAAAAAAAACCGATGAATAGCGCTATAGCGATCAGCGACTAGTGACAAGTGAGTTCTGACAGAGAAATGTGCGTATAAGTGAGAAGCGCTATGCAAGTTGTTTTATGCGATAGCGCTATGTGACGTCCAACTAGCGACAGCGAGAAGAATTCAAAGGAAGTGAAAGTGAGGAGCTAAGGTAAGACAGTGCAAGTGAAATGCCCGATAGCGACCAGATTATAGCTCGACTACCGATAGCGATCCCGATGTTGCGAAAGTCAAACATTAGAGGGAACTTTAGCGACGCGCACTTAAAGCAAGTCAAGCGACACAAGATCAAAGAGATTGGCAAGAGTGGAATTGATTGCACCAAGACTAGGATATAGCGACTAAAGTGACTCCGACACCAGCAAAGGTCCAGGGAAGGGAAGTACTGTACTGTATGTGCGACGGGTTATTATATCATACTGCGTAAAGGTTCGGGAAAGCGTAGGCGAGAATAGTAGCGACACTTGTGAGGGCACAATGTAGCGACAGGTAATAAAACATGCTGCGCTGCGGAACACGAGGATACATGTAATAAGACCTGCGACTGATGAGTAGCGACATTTAAGGAAAAATAACACACCAGCGGAGGTAGCTGGACATAGGCAGGACATGGGAGGACAGAATACCTATGCGTCGGACCGGGTAGCGCACTATGGGAGAAAAGTGGTTCCAAAGCGGATAGCTTGGGAGCTGAATAGCGCTGGTTACTAGCGCCTTACTCTTTTCCTCTAGACAGGGCAAAATATGCCTATGACACTCATATGCACCTAGCGCTGGTATGATTGTCACAGCGGATCAGTAAGTGTAGCGGATCAGTAAGCATAGCGGAAGTAAGGATAACCGGATTACCGGTGTACAGGAATACCGAAAGGAGATGAACGATAGTTAGAGTTATAGGAACAGGACATGAAATAAGAATCAGATCGGATCTGTGGACCAAACGACGGATATGTCCATCGGATCTGGATCAGATCTGTACCCGGATATATGGTATATGACAATATCAGATACAAACAAGCTAGAAGGTGCAAAGAGAGAGGTACTACTCTCCTTGTCATGCTAATCAAAATCTTGAAACACTTCAAGATTATATTAAAATTCAACAGCACAATCCAAAGGTAAGGAATAACTCAACCTAGGGACAACCTAGGGAGATCAGGAAATCATGCAAATAGTCAGAGAAATGTGAGGAATGATACCATAAGTATTTATAGAGATAAACACATAGGAAAGTGTATGCAGAGGTGAATAATCATATAACTAATAACATTTACACCCTTCTTGTAATTGGTAACATGTCATCCATACCAGGAGCCCCAGTCTTGTTTATCAGTTGTAGTCAGACTGAATGCCATATGAGTATTTATTGTAATCTCATTACCAGGATACTCATAGCAACATGTTCAACTTCAATAGCCAATGCTACTCTGATACAGGCTGCATTGCAATTGCACATTGATGTCAAAATGATGTTGAGTTGTGCTCCACACAGTATCTTTATACAATGCAGGTACAAGCATATTCCAGCAGTTGAACTGTGCTTGTCACAATAGGAATTCCAGGATGTTGAGTAGAATTATTGCAAAGGAGACATTGGTCTGCATAGGTATAAAATCACATGGGTCTTGCAAAAATGTCTGAGATGTATGAACACATAGGAAATTCACAACCTTCTACAAATAATGGGTGTATTATTCACCAGAAAAGCAAATAAACCTTCTCTGTGTGCAATGATGACATGGATCTAAAAATGAGACTGCAAACCTTGTAATCCCAGAAATCTCACTAAACCTGTTATCAAATGGTGATCCACATTGTGCCAGGTGTCCTATGGGATTCCTTGATCAGTGCATTCATTTCTTGAATAATGTCTCCTTCTATTACCTCTGGGAATAATCAGGCTCATTTTGGTGTTTCAATGTTTTTTTGCCCATCCAGGCAGTCAATATCTGAATATATTATGTAACTTGCTTTGGAATCCTAGTTTATATGTATCAGCAGTGGTCTACACAGGCAGGAATATATTAACATAAACCCTATACAGTTAATACCATAAATTGCTAGCAAAGCAACAGGAAAAGTTAGAAATCAGGAAAGTTCACTTATGTTGGGCATCACATGACCTGTCAACTTATGCCTGATAAGGAATTGAACTGCAGTTGTAATTGCTGTTGGTGTGATGTGAGAGCATCACATTTCATGCTGGCATCTCAAACTTAATATGGTCAATGATCAGTTGACTTGAGAGATGTAAATACTACCTTTGAGAGATATATGTGTATATGTGATTGAGCTCTAGTGGAACTCCTACTGTTGCTGCTGCATGCTGATATAGCAATGTATTTCATAATCCAGAAGTCAAACCATTGGAAGTGAATCTTTCCTCTAAATTGACGTAGTGGGACTCTGCAATTGTTTGCCAAGACATTTTATTATCCAGAATAACCGGGCTGCACAAGGGATAGCTACCAAAATGTCACACTGAACTAGCTAATGACTAGAATGAGGCATGGACAACTACCAAAATAAATTTCTATACAGTGAACCTGATGCAGGGTTCCCCCAATCAGCACCCAAGAGCTGCTGCGAAGCTGCCATGGCATCATGCAGGTCATCCACTGGACCTTTGAGGCGGGTCATTTCTTCTAAAGTGGTGCTCCCGTCTTTGATCTTTTTGGTGAGCCAGTGCTCAAGCTTGGTCCCCAAGTATTTAAGATCATCCCTAATAACCTGGAGATTGTTGAGCAAGGGGTCTGGACCCGCTGCATGCCTGTAGATGTCCAGCAGCAGAATGTGGGTGGCAGGCTGTTCATCAACCGGCATCAGGGATGAACAGAAACTCGGGAGTTCAACAAAAACTGCACTTACCATCTGTTGAGTATGGGTGTGGTATAGCTGTAAGACCTTGCACATCATGAGTTGGTTGGGCACCTCAAATGGCATCAAGTCAAACCGGTCTTTCCACCAAGTGTATTGGTAGATCCAGATGTTCCGGTATCAGGACATGAGGTCGCCCGAGGTGTTGAATTGGTGAGTTGTGAATTTGCGGAATTGGCCAGGATTGTCCAAAGCACCCATCTACCAGCTTGTGAGCATCTTCACAATCTACTTCAAGTATTCTGGAAAACACGGCTGCATGTTGTTGATCGTGCACATGTTTATGAAGGGGAAAATGAAGCGCTGGATGGTATGGAAGTCAGTCAGGATTAAAGAAAGTGAACACCCAGAAGGTAAAAAGACTCACATCAGCTTCCCAAACCAGATGCTGGACGAATCACTCTCAGTAATGTGGAGTGCAAGATACTCAGCTCTTGTTGAGGGACTCCCAGATTGCAGCGAAGCGTGGGGGTTGCATATTCAAATATATTCGCCACATCCCATAAGGTGGGTGTGGGTAGGGCCGAGTTTTGCCGGGTGAGTATTACAAACTTGGATAGTTCTGATGTATGGCTACTCAATAAGAGTAATTGGCTAAGGTCGGTTCAATAAGACAAGTTAAAGAGAGTGTCTTTAACTTGAATCAGGTTCAGACGACTTAAGATTGGTGGTCTGAAGTGAGAGAAGTTCCAGGTAAAACCCAGTAAGATTAAAGTAAAGAACTACAGTGTACAAGCATGTTTATATAGTGAATGGTAACAACTTCAGGGCAGGTGTGAGAACAAGAATGAGTCAGAGATAAGAGATGAGTCAGAGATAGCAAGAATAGATCACCTAGCGATGGCAAGATAGCGATCGTGGTGTAATACAGTGAGTCATGTAGATGATGAGTCAGAGATATGACAGAAGTGGACGGGTCTAGTGGCGGCATCATGCAGCACGTGACATACTACAAGTAAGTAAAGGAGGAAAGAAATATGGGTGTACAGTGACTGTAACAGTGAGTGCGAATGATGGAGATGACATAATTTGAGTGGGTTTAATATGCGGGGGGAAATGTATGAGGTTGCAAATTGGGAATGCTGCAATGATCTGTCAGTATAAATAACCAGTGATTTAAACCCAGTCTGATCCATCTGTGGCCAGACAATCATTTGTCCACCAGGTAAACAATGTGTCCAAAATGAAACGAGATGAAACTGCATTGTTTCCATGTGGCCATGACTACCTCCAAGGAAAAGGTTGCCACATGGAATCTACCGAAGACATTACAAGTTATGACTGAATGTTCCATTGACTTCAGCAAATCTAGTATGAGCATCTTTCGCCAACTGTCTGTACATCTGCGCTTGTCTGATTGCATAACATCTCGACTAGCTCTCCATTTCACATTGTTCAGCCATGCCAGGTTTTGGCTTTGTGTGCAAGAAATTTGATTGTCCAATGCATCTCATGTCCAACCAGGAGTAATTCTTCGGCCCACCAG